CTTTTTTTTGACCATATACAGCATTTTGAAGAATGAAAAGAGAACAGAATCTATTGAGACAACTAAGTGATGATATATCTAAGCCAAGAAGACTAGAAAATGTCTGAAAATTCAGAGGTATTGAGCCATTGGTGTGATGCACACTGTCTGAGAGAAAAATCACAATATCTCTTTGGAACCTCCATCAATTTGAATGTATGTGGTATCTACTGAAAGCTATGAATTAGGTGGTTTGAACAAGACCAAAATAAGCAAGAACAGTGCAGCCATGCCTGCAGGACATGGGTAATGATAGTAGATTCCTTCCTAACAAGTCACATTAGTCACAAAAAGTCAAAAATAGTAAAGTGTTATTTTCCTGATGTACCTTTCATGCTCAACCATCAAGGTACTTGAAGAACGAGTTCGCGGAAAAGATGGAGAAGTTATACTGACCCAAGTTTTGAAGATTGCGATAGGATTCACTGTTACGAGCGGAATGGAGCACAGTTTTCAACCTGGGCTGGGTCTTGATCAATTTCTCTACGAATCGCACTTGCGATCCAGAGTTCCATTCGAGAACTTCGCAATGGATTGAAGAACGAACATCTAGTCTCGAAGTCTTGATTTTTCAATGGTACTTCTGACTTAGTTACTCACTCATTTGTCAAGCTCCTCTTGAGTGGCGTAGCCAAGAGCGTTGGGAATGGAGTAGAAATTTGGCCACCAACAGACTCAGTTATGTCAGGCGGTGCCTCTGGACTTGGAAGTTTGCCTCTGGTGACGAGAATCCTTGAACTGCAGGGAGTGTATCACCAGTGCCGTCACTCTTTTTAATACGTGCAGAACCAGACCATGAGGGCGGTGCTGGCAACATGACGAACAGTCGCCAGCAAACTAGCCCTAGGGCACTCACTGATCCCATCACCCCCTAGCGATGTGCAGGCAGTCTTCGAATTGGTATGCACAGATAGATCCGGACCTGCTCGAGTAATACATGAATCGGAGATGACGTTCTGGTCTGGCTACGTATTACCACACTTCACGGGATTGACAACATCTACGGGATTGCTTGGGGATTAACAGCACCCAATAAGAGCAACTTGGTGGCCTCGTTCATTCACAAGGCTCTGTATTCGCCATCATGAGGGCAGGTGGTGCTGAGTGAAAAGCGTGAAAGTGACAGCCAAAAATTGACGAAAATGTGATTACAAGAGAGACCCTCCATCTGCTTTGCTTGCTTACACGGCCGTGAATTCTCGCCCTTCGGAAGGCGTTGGTGGTGGTCATACACACCTCATCATTTGGATCCATATCAACACAGCTCAGTAGATCGTTATTGCTCTAGGTTTCAGCAGCACTGACACAAGCTTCATAAAAATCAAACAAGCTGAAACATGGTTTTGATCAAAACAAGCCTAGGGACTAGTTCATATGAACAAGTGACATCCAGAAGAGGCAGATAGCCAGGGTCAGCACTGGGGCAGAGGTGTTGTTAGGTGTAGCCCACTGTCAACATCTTCACCCATTGATAAAGGTTATCCACAGCTAGGGGACTGTCAGCAAGTTCAGGGATTTGTTACCATGATTTCTGTCAGCAATGTCGTGGTCCTCGTCTACAGGGTGAACATACCCGGACGGTGTCATTTCTAGTGTTCGGAGTTCGCTCGATAGTTGGTGTCAGCGTGCTCCATGAAGCGAGGTGGAATAGCGGGATAGTCTTCTTTCAATATAGGTGTGCTTGACCACTTATTTTGCTCTGCCGCCTGCGCAACAAGCCATAATGCATGTTTAGATACGCCTGCCCCGGCGTCAAGCATGATCCTAGAACAACAGATGTTCATACTCAGCAATTGACATCGACATCATGCGTAGAATGACGTTGCCTACCGCCGCAAGTGAGCTAGATCATCATCCAGGTGTACGTGTGGTGTTTTCTTAATAATATCCCCGATTTCGCGCAAACCCTGGCGGAAGCGGTCGCGGCCTTCCGGCGTCATTGAATCCCCATCCCTCTGTATGTATTCCACAACCTGAGCTACATCAGACAATGTTCACACGGAAATCAGCAAGGTGGCTTGCCTCTGGTAATCGCTGTTTCACTTCTGAAAGGATCCCACACCAGGAAAGCCACAGGACCTATTAACAGATGAACGATCAATCTCGAGGCTTTATGACCGCAAGATATCCTTGCCTTTCCTGTCACGTCCTCTTCCAGTGCTTGCTGTTCATCTTCATCATCCGTTGCATCGAGTTTTGTTTGAAGCACCGTTATCTCTTGCAACATGGCACGGAGATTAATCTCCCTGGGTATAGTGCTCAGGGTCTACGAAACCTATTGAACATTGGTCTTACTTCGCATAATCACTGTGGCTACTTTGATCCTTCAGTCTGAAACCGGAACACAAAATCATCATAGTAAAGGAAGACAATGCGAGGTGAAAGGGGGCCTCACAGTTGGCACTCAGCTACAGACGCATCCAGGATGGCGGTATAGATGTGTTGAAGTAGCTGTGTGTGTTTAGAATTAGCCTCGACTCCCTTCAATTGATAGTAATATTTACGCCGACGCTCAGAGTCTGTGATATAGACTTCACCTCGCACCGCGTCTGCTGCCTCGCAACAAGATATCGACGCCACTCAACCAGTGGGCCAAAAGCTTCGCACTTTTGGAGTAAAGGAGGTACTACTAATTTGCGGCACGGGTTCTGTGGTGCCCTAGATTTGAGGCTAGACCTGAAAGGATTCCGCAAAGATGTCGCTGGACGGACTGTCAAGCCATCTCCTGGGGCCGCAATGTAAGTATATACGACGAGTGTGTTTGACCTGACGGCCTTACCCTCGACGATACCTACGGAGGTCTCACCGCGTGACTGCGTTTCCACCATCAAGTGGAGCCTTTCAAAAAATTTTACCTCGCCGACCTACGTTCTAAGGGTGGGAACAGCCGGTATTACAGAAGGAAGTACGCACATAATTTTTCAAGTTCTCCAAACCGAATATATCTGAGAGGAACGTAACCGCTCCATGCTTCTTCCGTCTACTCTGTTATCCGGGTAAGTGTATCCTCGTAGTTCCCGCGTGGTTGACTCAACTCACCACTGATTCGTGTCCAGCTTCGGCTCCCGGAGGTCGACGCTGCGGGTCACGTAACGATCAAACAAATTCAGCACTTGCAACGTGACTGGAATAGTTACCAGGTTCGTTAACGTGTAAAAATGCTTACTACATTTCGAATTAGTGACCCAATATGACACGAACTGCAGGGGACTCACCGGATACTTTTGTATTGTTCTCTCCTTCGTGCACATACCAGTTTCAGTCGCCAAACTTGTGGGCTCGCAATGGTACATAAAGGGATAACGACGCCTGACTCTGTCAACTGACCACCGGTCTTGGATGCCGAATCTGATGCTCAAGATCAAAACCAAGGCAAGCCACCATCCGAACGGAATACTAACCACCTTCCGAATCCCCTCTACCTCCCTCCACGTTGATGCTGTGGAAATACGAGCATTGTATGACTGTTGCCACCAGATATTTGCCTGCAAGGCGAGTGGCCAAGGCTTTCAGCAGCAACACGAGTTCTGGATTGTTCGGAAGTGAGAAGCCCTTCGGTGAATGGAGCGTCAGGTATCTGTCCTGAAGGCGAAATTCTACGGCATAGTCATTCCGGTCCTGCTCGCCATCCAATACATCCGCATCGCCAGATACGCGGGAGGCCACGGGACGATAAGCTGGGTCCGCGGGGTCTATGCCAAGCATTTGCATATCCTCAAATATGTTGCCGTCAGATTTGAAATTGCCACTGGAATAGTCCCCATAATCACCAAGCTGTTTGTGTTAGGCTCGGTGTAACTACGATGAGTGCATTATGACTCACTGCGATCCTTTGACCAGAACACTCGCAAAGCCACACGCGCTTCCCATCCAGCTTCAACCCACGAAAATTGTGAACTGTCTTCATGAACCCCGGCAAATCAAGACGATCCCAATCATTCTAAGGTCATAGATGGTTACATCTGCTATGCATATGGAAAAGAGAGTGCTCACGGACGCAGCCGTACATTCGCGTGGCCCAACGCAACAACCGGAGCATTGCTCGACGTCGACCATCACATGGGTCTGCACGTTCCCACTGTACCATACAACCTTCGAATCCCAGATTGTCCGAGGAAGGTGAGCGCACTTCACGCCGCTGATAAAAAAGTCCTCGACTGGCGCACTCCACAGCGTATCGTATACTTTCTTGGCGAACTCTGTCCACGGCACCTCTTGATTCGCAGATGATTCGTCACACACCACGTGGACCGATGGTGTACCGAGGTAGTGTGCAAGTCCAACTGCAAATAGATGCCTGGAATCGTGGCTGGCATACACTACGACGATGAAATCGTTTATGAGCGACGAGAGTGTGACTGCGTTATCTGCGATCATGTGTGGAAACGTGCCGCGACGGGTGAAACCATGATACGAGGTAAGGGTGTCATGGAGTTTAAAATGATGGCACTCTTCCCCGCTGTATGGGGCCGACCAAGCGAGATAGTGAATCCTAAGCTCCGGGGGACGCGATTTACGAATACGTCTAGTGGCAGGGATCCTGTAGGAGCTAACTCCAGAAGATTTGAAATCGATGGTAATCAGGTTTCCGTAGTAGTCTCGACAAGCCAGTATGGCTCTGAAGACCGATGCAGAGTCGCGATGGGGTATTACGGGCAAGCAAATTTGAATGCCCCTATCGACGGCAAGGAATATGGCAAGCTGTTCGCGAAGAGCACGGCCGCCTGACCTCAGACATGCGAGTTTGCCACTGAAGTTGCACATCATCCTGGCGATGGCGAGTCGGTTCTGACGACTATATTTCGTGAGTTCGTCGACAAACTCGTCGGACTCCACCTTTTCAATGTCACGACAACCACGAAAATGACCCAAGTCACTTGCCAGGACACCGCCAACCCAGTCAAACTGACCCTTAGGATTCCATGCGAATATACTGTGATCGTTGCAAACCCGGATGATTTCGAGCTGTAACCTCTGAAATGCCTTCCCCCCTTCGCCGTAACACATCGGCATGTGAATGCCAAAGAGCCCCAACAGCGAGTAAGCCCGGTCTTCCTCTCGCGTCGTCTTCCGGTCAGCAGCCCAAGACATGATTTCAGCAACGCAGACACGCCTTGGAATCCGGCCGTCCTTCAAGACATCGATAGGAATTCGTGTGATTTTCTCCAACGTGTCCACAAGGTTCTCCTTGCCGCTAAGAGGCAACCAGTCCCTGTTGAAGAACTTGACCCGTTTCGGAGCGATCAGCTCCTGAAGCGTCCAGCCCCGCGAAAACCACTCAGGCCAGCCGTTGGATTTGCCAAACTTGTTGAAGTCTTGTTTAGTAGGAAAGGTTGACTCGCTGACGTCGCTGAGGTACGCATAGCACACTTGTGCATTTTGGAACCACCGATACATCGAATTGATGGCCTCTGACAACTCGGAGCTGCTCCGCTTGTCGATGCAACACGTATCGATCCACATGGACCCGTAGCCGTCCTGCAGGGCCCGCCTACAACCATCGATTATCTTCTTGTAGCCGGCGCGCTGCCTGACCTCGTTCCTGTCGTGATTGTCCATCCTCATGAGCCCAGTCATTTCATCATAACTGACTTCGTCCTCGACCTTTCCCCAGCGGTGTGATAGTATTGCATATTTCGCCGTCTTGTCATCAAGCTCATCCAAGACCTTAGCTTTGGGTTCGGAACATTGGATGTCCCTTTCTCTCTCGAGAACAGCTTTTACGTCTAGTAGCCGCATCTTCCTAGGAGGAGGGGAGTGGGAAGCTCAAGGCTGCCAGCACAGCAAATACGGGTCATCACACGTACCATCTACTGCCCGAGATTACAGAACGTCCTCCAAGTCGTGTGATGGATGCCTACCAAACGAAGAGAAGCTCGAAATAACGTCGCTGGCCCTCGTGCGTTCTTCGGGTTCCTACGGCACTTTCCGAAGGAAAGTCCTCGGCTGACTCACTTGAGCGTCTACTTATCCACAAATGAATGCCTCGAACGTAATGTTAATTGTCCTGTTTCACCGATTTGAAACACAGGGAACCCGACCCAAACACCTCGTATGACAATCCCTGTTCTACACTTCAGAATGTAACCTCCAAAGAAACTCCTCCATTAAAGAAGGGGAGAACGCGCGCAGACAACTGAATACAAAGCTTGAAATTCCAGTTGCATCAACGAGGTGCAGAGGGCGTGTGATGTGGGACGGAGGGCGTTGTGCCCTAACAACGTGACAAGGCACCACAGCCGATTCTGATTCTCTCCAAGCCACATCTCCACTGACGCTGAGAAAGCCCCTACTGTACATTGTTTCATTCCTAGAATTCTCATACTCCCATATTCCATAGAACTACCAAACTCGCAAGGTTATGTGTTAAGAGGGAGGACTTGACTGGTACATGAGATATTAGGTAAAGTAGTAGGGTGTTAAGTATCTTAGTGGGGTTTGAACGTTTGAAATCGAGACTTACCCTTCTGGGAAAAGGTAGTTCTGACTAAGGCTTGACTATTTTCTTTTTCTGCCGTGCTGCGTGAATCAATTACATTATTCTTACGGCACCTCTGAGAAACAGCCAGCGCAAACTAATCTGCAAAACGGTCGAATTACAGCAACAGTTTTTGAATTGTTTGGGAGCTTGGCGAGTACTGTTACTCAACTCGGCAAATGCTAAGCACCTGTTGAACCTTGTCGAACACTAAACGTTTCATCTGCAAGACGGTCGAATTACAGCATGCGCTTCAGACAGTTTTTGAATTGTTTGAGAGCTCGGCACGCACTGTTACCGATGCTAAGCGCTCTAACGTTGCTCTTAGAGCACTAAGCGATTTGCAGATAAGTTTGTAGATGCCGGCCTAGCGTAATTCGACGCTTTTTGCAGATTCCCGCGGTCCCTTCGACTTACGACCAAACCCTAATTGCAGGGGGCTCATTACATGAGGTGATCCGAGCTTATCGCGCAGTCACATCTGGGAAACAGCAACGCGACGCGGCTGTTGACTACCCTTCCGTATTTGAGCGAGCCCAGATCTCGTTGGCCAATAAGTGTTTTACCGAGTGCGAAAGGAGTCTTACTACAAGTCACTTCCAAACGGAGGCCATGATCCATACGCTGCTCATACTCTCGGGTAGTTTTGCAGCTCATGCAATCCAGTTCCAGTATTCGAATACTACTTGGGCCGTGCCAGCAATCAATGCCTACCAGCGGCATTCTCCGAGTTTTGGAACTCTGCGTGTTCCCCGTCCAATAATTGGAAATAAAACACGAGGTCCAATTCCCACTGCGCTTATTTTGCCATTTGGGCATGGAAAAAAGGCGGTTCGAGCCGAATTGCTGTCCCTATTAATATGACCACATCGGGACCCAACTTGGAAACAGCAAATTTAGAATCGGACCGCAGTTTGGTGATATGGAATGCACCACCCGCAAACTGACACCTCGACAAGCCCAGCAGCACTGCCATGTGCAAATTGACAATTGGGAGTAATACAAATCCGAACTTTGCAGATTTCAGCAAGGGAGCTCAATGACCGACCACGGATAGAGATCCAGGATCTTCTGCCCTGAGCAGTCCCCTCTGTTGTCGAGACTAAGGTCCTATCTGGTACGGCTCAGAGTACGGTCGATGTGCACCTCGTATTCCAGTCTGGACACCAGATTGATCCTAAGTTTTCTTCTGTCGACACAAATAGTAGAAATGATAAACAAATAACGGTACAAATAAGACGTGTTGATCTTAAAAAAGTTTTCTTCTGACGACACAAATAGTGGAAAAGATAAACAAATAATGGCGCTAACCAAACAAATAAAGAAAAATTGTTCCCAGAAGGGCAACTGGCCCCGATGGGCCGGCTCTGCGCAAGCCCGAGGCTCCTGTCATTCCGTGGGCGGCCGTGGCAACGGTCATGAGCATGCCACCACGTGACGGATTGCCTCTTCCGCCGACTCCTTAGTGTTCATATACACATAGGTTTTCGCACCTTTTCCCACTGCGTTCTTCCACTCTCCGTCTTGAAGCTCTTTGTGCATGATCGACCGTTTACCCGTAGCAACCAGAAGGACAGTCGGGTAGACCTCGTCCACCTCGCAAAGGTCGCGGAAGCAGTCCAGGTTGAGTCGTATGACTCGCCTATCATCCAAATCTTGAAAGTACAAGATACCCGTGAGGTGAGCACTGTTTGTGACCATGTGAATCCCGAGGGTGTAGTTCATTTAGTTATCCTCCTCACCCTGATTGTTGCAACCACTCTCGTAGATAACAGGCGATAACTGCTTCGGGCGAGTTTTTTCCAACGTCGGGAGTGTTGAGAAGGGTTACCCTAACGTTTCTCACATCCACTTCGATGGCCGTGACTCGATGCGGGTGAGCGCGGTCCGGCCTCTGCCACGAGTTTCGCGCGAGTTGGCGTATCAGCTATTCCAATACTTAGAGCAGTTAGCTTCACTTCGGTCACTAAATCTCACATCTGCCTTGCCGCTGCCTGACTGCCCCATTACTCTGCAGACAAATAGTTGACTTTCCCTTCGTTCTTCGTAAACATGTGTGTTACTCACGCAATTATCTTCTCTGCCTTCTCAGTCTGTGGAGCTCCGGTTGGAACCTGCTTCTCAGAAGAGGTGCCATGCCTGAAAGGCAGGCAGTTTCCGCTTTTGCGGCCCATATACCGCCACTAAGACAGGTCGATAAGCCATAGCGAGCCCTACATATAGTTGCGCGACCTCACCATCAAGAATGTCGCTCCGATGTAGTAGGCGTGTTGCAAGAGAAGGCAGCGGATTAGAACTTACAGTGGTACGGCATTGATTTCTACTTTTGATTATGGTTCCGGATCCCGATCCCGATCCCGGGAGCTGGACAGGTCACGCCGAGTCTAGATAAAGAAAAAGGTGGAACTTGAACATGGTCATCAGTGGCGACAAGCTGATTCTGTATTCGCCATGTTGAAGCACAGGCTCGAGCTCGTGAGCAAAACAAGTCACTCCACCGTCGCTGTGTGCCTTGTTTTTCTGCATATCCAATTTATTTCCAGTTGATCTGTGCAGTGTGGTTGTAGTCTGCTCCGATTCTGCGACCATGACCGAACCATGCGGGTGTCGTCGCCATCGAACATGGCGGGTGACCCATCCACCATCATCAGGGCCGCCGTTGATTCCACTCGGGTATGAGTGTTGGTGTCGTATTTCAAGGCATTCAGCGTTCGCAACTTTCAAGTACAAGCTGCGGTGCTCGACAGCGTGTGAGTAACCGAAATGACGTAGTCTTCTGTATGATAAATCCAAGCATCGATACGGAAACAGGTAATAGCGCACGTATTGAGGCCTACGTCCGTTGTCTTGCAGATCCAACCCTTCCCTCTTCGCACTGGGAAGGGGAAGGCGATACCAATACCTAATCTGTGTCTTCGCAACCTCGCGTGTCCCTCTCCTCATGTACATCCTAAGCGTTCCCTTTCCCGCCCTCCTTAGATTATGTAAGAATTTGACGTTCTTACATGCTAACACGTTTCCAGGTGGAATTCCACTCCTTTTGAGTGAACGACCTGTGTGTCACAGAGAATATGGTTACCGTCAGGTCGATGGAGTCTTGTTCGTTCTGCTAGAACGGGTCCTGCTTCCTTTCGGCGTGCATTTCAACTACCCTACAGGTCCCCCTTGTAATAGTGGGCGTTAAATTTGGCTCGGATGTGGCCGTCAATGTCGGTACTGACGCCGAGGCTGAAACCAACATCGCAGTTGGGGAGGACCTAGCGTTACTGCGAAGGAAGACAGGCATGACCATGGAAAAACAAACAAGGCTAACCGAAGGGGGATGTTGCATAGACGAAGGGAGGGAAAGCGAGTCAAGAAGCCGAAGTTAATAAGGAAGCCCCTCACAGCAGCGCATATCCAATGGGAAATTCCATTTCTTCGCCCTCTGACTCCCATTCCCATCCTTCCCGGAGAATGAATGCACAGGTGTGTTAGCATTTCTTGGGAAGACAGCCTGTGCTATGAATTCGCTGTCTTCGTTCTATGTCACAGGCGAGCTCGGCCCCCCAGCCAGTGATGCTACCAGTTGCTTGGATTATGAAGCGGACCAGTCCTGTTCCCCTGCAAACCCTCTCCCACGCCTGCGCCTGCAAGCAATATACGAACATCTCCGAGTGTCAGAGTACCGCAGCGAATACCAAGATTCTAAACGCAGTGCTGCGAGCAGCCCACACAAGGAGAAATGAACCCTCCGGACGCACACTCATCACCAAGGATGCAACACGGTACTTTTACTCGTTCTCCACCTCACTGTTTCATCACCAACAGCCTCGGCTAGCTCAGGCGGTGCCACTGGCCTTGGGAGTATGCCTGTGGCTCGTTCGACTTCTCCCCTAGCTGGTGACGATCCTCGAACGGCAGCGAGTATTGTTGTCGTCCATGCTGATGCGAGCCGTAGTAGCAAGCATCAGAAGACCCTGGTACCTTGCCACCCCGGAGGCCCGTGCCGATAATACGATGGACAATGGCTACCAGACTAGTTCTAGCGCACCCATCGATCCTACCATCTAAAACATCCTAGCGGTATATGAGCAAGCTTTGAGAGGATGTACGAAGATAGACTCAGAATTGTTGGAGTCACACATAAATCGGAGAAGGGGTTGTCAGTCAAGCTTGTTCTCTCTTGGAACTGGTGACAACTACGTGTTTACTTCGGAGGCCACAACTCTTGATAAGGGGAGGTAAACAGCCAGATGACCTGATTAATCCATGAGATTCTATACTCGCCGTGATGAAGAGTATATGCAATGGGAGTTGGGTGATGCGGGTTACGGTTAATGGAGTATATCAGTGTAAGTGATGGTCAACAAGTTATGAAAATGCGAATTAACTATGAATCCAAGCGAAACCCCGTCTGCGGTCGCGCTGCCTCGTTTTTTGGAGGCAATGCAAGTTATAGCCATACATATGGATGCCCATCGTCTAGATCCACTCAGCGCATCAGTAAACTAGCGTTCTTGGTTGCCGTAGCAATGTCACAAAGTCAGAATTAACTAGAAGTTAAACAGGTAGAATTTGCAGACACGATTGTGATGATAACAAGCCCAAGAGCTGTACAAGTGATTGAAATCGCTAGTACTACATTACCTGCCAATGAGGCAATTCAACATGAAACTGCTCATATGAATAATCGTCCTGATACAAAGGGAACCATATTTCGGGACTAAGGCGCATGATTATGTGCACTGGTCTGGTCAACCATAATTATGACTGAGGAAATATTGCCTACTGTTTCAACGCAGACAACAGTTCAGAAATTCATTACCTTGAAGACTGAGCCAATACTTGGTAACAATGCCACGGTCCTTGTTCACCAGTCGAACCTACTCGGATGGTGTTGTCTTCAGTGTCCAGAGTTCGTTCAACCGTAAACGTGTGGGCGTGCTCGACGGATTACGCTGGAATAGCAAGGGGGTTGTCTCTCGGAACGGGCACACTTGACCCCTTTTTTGGCTCTACAACGCGGGCATCAAACCACAACTGATGTTTTGATACGCCTGCTCCCGCATCAAGCATGATCCTAGAACAATAGCGATTCATGTTCAGCAATACCACGCGTCGAATGACGTCGCCTACCGCCGCAAGTGAGCCAGATCATCATCCAGGTGTACATGTGTCGTGTTCTTAATAATATCCCCAATCTCATACAAACCCTGGTGAAAGCGGCCACAGGCTTCCTGCGTCATCGAATCCCCATCCCTCCGTATGTATTTCACAACCTGAGCCATATTAAATGGTGCTCACACGGAAATCAGGGACACCGCTTGCCTCTGATAACCGCCGTTCTACTTCTGAAAGGATTCCACACCAAGAAAGCCACAGGACCTATCAACAAATGAGTAACCAATCACGAAGTTTTATGACTTCAAGATATCCATGCCTTCCCTGTTACATCCTCCTCCAGTGCTTGCTGTTCGTCTCCATCTTCTGCTGCATCGAGCTTTGTTTGGAGTGTCGTTATCTCTTGTAACATGGCACTGATGTTAATCTCCCTGAGTATCGTGCTTAGGGCCTACTGAATCTACTCAGCATTAAAGGGCGTTGGCCTTACCTCGCATAACCAGTATGGCTCGCTTGATCCTCCCGTCTGCTACTAGACCACAGGAGAATTGTAGAAACATGGGGCAATACGAGGTGAAAAAGTACTCACTGTCCACACACATTGAGAATGACACTATAGATATACTCGAGTAGCTATTTGAGAAGAATCAACCTCGACCTCCTTCAGTTGATAGCAATATTTACCCCAACGCTTAGAGTTTGCGCTATGGACATTATTTCGCGTCGCGTCTGTTGCCTCGCAATAACGTATCGACGAAACGGAAGCCATCGGTCAAAGGCTTCGCCCATTTGGAGTAAGGGCGGTACCACTATTCCAGGGAGTGGGTGTCGCACCGCCATGGATTCAAGGCGATCCCATAACGACGTCACTGCTCGTGCAGGCAAACCGTCTCCTATGGCCGCAACGTAAGTATACACGACGAATATGTTTCATATGACAGCCTAATCCTCGAAAATACCTGCGGATGTGTCACTGCATGATTGGGTTTCCACCACCAAATGGAGCCTTTCAAAAAACTTTATCTCGCCGACCTACGTTCTAAGGGTGGGAGCAGCCTACAGTACACAAGGAAGAAATACGTACATAATTTTTCAAGTTCTCTAAACCGAATATATCCGAGAGGAACGTAACTGCTCCATGCTTCTTCCATCTACTCTGTTAGCATTGTAAGTGTGGCTTCGTCCCGCGTAGTTGACTCAACTCACTGCAGGTTCACGTCTAGATTCGGTTCCTGCAGGTCGATGCTGCGGGTCATGTAACAAGTCAAACAAATTCAGCACTCGCAACATGGTTGACTGGAATAGTTACCAGGTTCGTTAACGTGTAAAAATGCTTACTACATTTCGAATTAGTGACCCAATATGACACGAACTGCAGGGGACTCACCGGATACTTTTGTATTGTTCTCTCCTTCGTGCACATACCAGTTTCAGTCGCCAAACTTGTGGGCTCGCAATGGTACATAAAGGGATAACGACGCCTGACTCTGTCAACTGACCACCGGTCTTGGATGCCGAATCTGATGCTCAAGATCAAAACCAAGGCAAGCCACCATCCGAACGGAATACTAACCACCTTCCGAATCCCCTCTACCTCCCTCCACGTTGATGCTGTGGAAATACGAGCATTGTATGACTGTTGCCACCAGATATTTGCCTGCAAGGCGAGTGGCCAAGGCTTTCAGCAGCAACACGAGTTCTGGATTGTTCGGAAGTGAGAAGCCCTTCGGTGAATGGAGCGTCAGGTATCTGTCCTGAAGGCGAAATTCTACGGCATAGTCATTCCGGTCCTGCTCGCCATCCAATACATCCGCATCGCCAGATACGCGGGAGGCCACGGGACGATAAGCTGGGTCCGCGGGGTCTATGCCAAGCATTTGCATATCCTCAAATATGTTGCCGTCAGATTTGAAATTGCCACTGGAATAGTCCCCATAATCACCAAGCTGTTTGTGTTAGGCTCGGTGTAACTACGATGAGTGCATTATGACTCACTGCGATCCTTTGACCAGAACACTCGCAAAGCCACACGCGCTTCCCATCCAGCTTCAACCCACGAAAATTGTGAACTGTCTTCATGAACCCCGGCAAATCAAGACGATCCCAATCATTCTAAGGTCATAGATGGTTACATCTGCTATGCATATGGAAAAGAGAGTGCTCACGGACGCAGCCGTACATTCGCGTGGCCCAACGCAACAACCGGAGCATTGCTCGACGTCGACCATCACATGGGTCTGCACGTTCCCACTGTACCATACAACCTTCGAATCCCAGATTGTCCGAGGAAGGTGAGCGCACTTCACGCCGCTGATAAAAAAGTCCTCGACTGGCGCACTCCACAGCGTATCGTATACTTTCTTGGCGAACTCTGTCCACGGCACCTCTTGATTCGCAGATGATTCGTCACACACCACGTGGACCGATGGTGTACCGAGGTAGTGTGCAAGTCCAACTGCAAATAGATGCCTGGAATCGTGGCTGGCATACACTACGACGATGAAATCGTTTATGAGCGACGAGAGTGTGACTGCGTTATCTGCGATCATGTGTGGAAACGTGCCGCGACGGGTGAAACCATGATACGAGGTAAGGGTGTCATGGAGTTTAAAATGATGGCACTCTTCCCCGCTGTATGGGGCCGACCAAGCGAGATAGTGAATCCTAAGCTCCGGGGGACGCGATTTACGAATACGTCTAGTGGCAGGGATCCTGTAGGAGCTAACTCCAGAAGATTTGAAATCGATGGTAATCAGGTTTCCGTAGTAGTCTCGACAGGCCAGTATGGCTCTGAAGACCGATGCAGAGTCGCGATGGGGTATCACGGGCAAATAAATTCGAATGCCATCAGGGACGAGGAGTATGTTAGGCAGTTCGCGAAGGGCACCACTGCGTGACCTCGGACGGAGGTGGGGCCACCTGGCGATGGCGAGTCGGTTCTGACGAATATATTTCGTTAGTTCGTCGACGAACTCGCCGGGTTCCACCTTTTCAATGTTGTGGCAATCACGGAAGTAGCTTGGGTCGTCAGCCAAGACACTGCCACACTGGTGAAACTGCCCTTTGGGGTTCCATGCGAATATGCTGTGATCGTTGCGCATCTTGATGATTTCAAGCTGTAGTTTCCAAAATGCTTTTTCGCCCTCTCCGTAGGACAGAGGGATGTCCACCTCGAATAGTCCCAGTAGCGAATATGCTCGGTCTTCCAGTCTCTCCGTTTTCCGGTCCGCTGCCCAAGACATAATTTGCGCAACGCAACGACGCCTGGACTGCAGCCCATCCTTCAAAACATCGACAGGGATCCGCGTAATGTTCTCCAACGTGTCTGCGAGACTCTCCTTGTCACCAATGCAAGCCCAGCCCTTGTTGAAGAATTTGACTTGTTTCGGCGCGATGAGCTCTTGGAGCGTCCAGCCCCGCGAGAACCACTCTGGCCAACCGTTGGTTTTGCCAAACCTGCTGAAGTCTTGCTCAGTTGGAAAGTTCGAGTCTTCAACATCGTTGAGGTACACGTAGCATTTCTGCGATTTACTGTACCACCGATACATTGACCTAATGGCGACCGACAGCTCAAGGATCTTCTGTTTGTCGATGCAACACGTATCGATCCACATCCACCTATAGCCGTCATTCATGGCCCACTCACAGCTCTTGACGATCTTCTGGTAGCCGGCGCGCTGTTTAACCTCTTCCCTGGCAGGTTCAACCACTTCCATGAGCCGGGTCATTTCATCGTAGGTGACCTCTTCCTTTCCCCAGCGATGTGACAGTACTGCATATTCTTCAGACCCGCCATCAAGTTCACTAAAGATTTTAGCTTGTAGTCCAGTTCCTTGGGTGTCCTTTTCCCTATCGAGAACAACTTTCACATCCAGCAGCCGCATCGTTCTGGGAGGTGGGTGATAAGCTCAAGGCTGGATCAACAACTACAGGTCATCGCACGTACTATTTACGTCCGAATTACAGGGTTGTTTTTCAAGTAGTGCGCTTGGTGTGTTCGCCGAAGAACAAGCGAGGGGTATGAGTCAACTTGAACTTCGTTGAGGGTCTTAATAAGAGGCACAGATATCGAGCATGAGGAGGCCCAATCCTCATGTTATTCAGCTGCGACACAAAGAAGCATCATGTCCGTGAGCGCTCGACAGGGACATCTGGCAAGTATTAATGGCGAACTAGGTTCAGTTGACCTACATGTGCTTATCATGAGGCAACGATGTTCCAGATTTGTTCTCGCGATCCGATAACTCTTTTTCTTCACCCAGCCGTCGCGTACCAGCATAACAGGAGGACCGTCCAGACAAGCGTTGTTGACACAGAACCAAGTATCTATGATCATTCTCTGAATGATAAGCTTGACTGTTTCCAAGGAGGCTTGGTTCAAGGGCTTACGTTCCGAAAGCTGGTCCTAGATCCAGGAGTAGATATTATTGCGTGAGTAGTGGGAATGTTCACGCAGTAGGCCGACCACCTCTAGGACCTGCCCACAATATTGGAGGCTTGTACAGACATTGATAACACCATTTCCTCGTAGAATCTGATCGGAGTGGCAAGACATCATATAGATTATAGTCCGTGTGAAGTGATCGATACCTCTGTCCACATTGGCCACTCACCGGTATTCCCAGCCCTCCCTTTTCACTTTCACATTCTCAGCCAAGTTCAGCCACAACCCTCACTTCATACAGTTTCGTAACCGACCATAACCATCCGCACAGGATAAATATTACTTAAAGCTTCATCTGCCATCGTGGCTCCTGCAGCGCGGATGCTGCATGCTGCAGCCACTTGGTTGAACACAGCCAAATTTTGAAATTGTAAAAAGAACACGATGACTGGTATTAATGTCATGTTTGCGGACCTGCTCGGCACCCATCCTGTCCTAAACATTCGAGATTCAATGTGCAGACGAGAGGAAGAGCTACTGACGTCTGTACATAAGCATCGGTAACAGGGAAGATAGCAAAGATCGTTGGATGAACGATGCTAATGATATTGAGGAAAGCTTGTCTATTGTTACTGCAGTCATCAGGTTCAGAGATTCGTTAGTGAACCAATACTTTTTGACTACGATTCCTGTAAACGACGGTGCCATGGTCCTCAACGGCGAATATGAATATGCCCGGTCCTCCACTTGCATCGTCTTCCGATCCGCCGCCCAAGACATAATTTCAACAACGCAGACACGCCTTTAGGGAACCTGGTCACCCTTCAAAACATCGATAAGAATTCGTGTAACGTTCTCCAATATGTCTGCGAGACTCTGCTTGCCACCAATGGGAAATTGGTCCTCGTTGAAGAATGCAGTACACTCGTGTTTGGCTTCGTTACTTCTTGCATTCGACTTGTTTTGGAGCGACAAGTTGGAGCACCCAACCCCGTCAGAACCACTTTGGCCAACCATTGGCTTTGTCAAACTTACCAAAGTCAGAGCTGCTGCGTTTGCCAATGCAACATCTATCGATCCACATCCACCTGTAGCCGTCCTCCAAGGCTTGTTCACAACCCTTCAAGATCTTCTCATAGTCAACACACTGCCTGATCTCGCCCTTGTCATGATCATCCTCCATGCGCCTAGTCATCTCATCACTGTCGACCTCCTCTCCCCAACGATGTGACAGTATCGCATACTTCTCAGTCCTGACATAAAATTCCCCGAAGATTTTAGTTTAGGGACCACCTCCTAGGGTGTCCTTTTCTATGTCAAGAACAACTTTTACATCTGATAGTTGCATCTTTCTAAGTGGTGAGCGGAACCTTGAAGGCTGAATCAGCAACCACAAGTCATTGCACTTACTGCCTGGGTGGTTTCAGCGACAGATGGTCCAAGGAGGAAAAGAATGATGGACGATGACCTGACCGCCGTAGGTCCTGATTAAGCTGCACCGTGTTGAGCATGAGGCCTTGAGCCAGTTTGAGGCTCGGCCACTGATATTTCAGTGGCCGCAAACATTTAGGCGTGCTCAATTCTTGAGGTGTCAGTGCACTGCCGAGCTAAGGCCCGACGATGAAGCTGAAAACTACCACGCTAAGGGCCTGGATTTGAGAAGGAATATGTCGGAAAAAAAAAAAAAGTCTCCACACACCTCACGTTGCATCAGGGAACGCAGCCACCCAAAGTCGGTGGTAAAATTCTGGCGAAGTACGTAGTACGTTTATTCCGGAAAATTCGCAGGTGGCTGTGCTCACAGCCACTGCAAATGCACGGGAAGCCCGCTGACTAAGCGGAGGGCGCGCGTGCGAGAAAGTGAGGGTCGGGCGACTTGCGGGCTGCATACAACCCTTGCCCGTTCGTCGGTACTCAATTCAATTCTACTGAAAGACACTGTGCATAGGCCATGTCGTTATATGCACGAAATAGATGGGTATTCTGCGAAGAGACCCGCCCAAATTTGCTAGATGAGTGGTGTTCAGGGGCGGGAAGCGGTCACGTGATCGCGGCACTTGCGCTTGGAGCTCGGCTGCGCGCGTGCGAACGCACGCTCGCAAAAAAATTGGCACGGGCCGCCCTCCCGCCTGGAAAAATTTGCTTATCTGGCTGCAAATTTCCCAATGCTAAGTCACTTAACACACTTTACAATGGATTTTGCACTTTGCAACCTGTTCCTGATGCAAATCTCCCTCTTTTCATTAGCTAAGAGCATAGATTGATAGGGATGCAGTGTGCACAGTGACTGACATGGGAATGACTAGGTATGAACAGGGTTGTACACGAGGATGGCCAGCTTAGGACTCAGTGGGTTCAGGCAGGAATGTGGGGTGATGAGGTGACATTCTTGTCTCATGGGGATTCTTTCCCCTGCAGTAGCTACCTTATATCTATGTTGTACATTTGATATATCATCTGTTGGGGCATGTCCACTCCTACTCCTGCCTTTGTATTTTTCACTTTGCTTGTCCCCTTTTTGGGGTTATGACATATATCCCATGCTCTCTGTGCATCATTGTTTCCTTATTTGGGTGTGACAGCGGGTTGATATTTCTACACTCCCCCTCAAGCCGGGGTCATGCCCAAGGCTTCTCTATTATGTTCATGTTTTGGTCTGGTTAATGCTTTAGTGAAAATATTGGCCATCATTTTGACCATAGGGCAATATTTTAAGTCAACTATTTCTCTCTTCACACAGTCACAAATAAAATGGTTTTTGGTATCAAAGTGTTTTGATTGCTGGTAGTACTGTGTGTTTCTCACAATCACTAGTGCTGACTGATTGTCACTGTAAAGCATTGTAGCTTCTAATTGTGGGTGATTTAGCTCACTCAGTAGGCTTCATAGCCATATGATTTCACATGTTGCATTTGCCATCAATATGTATTCAGCTTCTGCCATGGAGAGAGCTACATGGCTCTGTTTCTTTGAATACCACATGACTGCACCTTGGTTGAAGACAGATATGTAGCCTGAGATTGATACCTGATTGTTGTCATTAGTGAAGTCAGCATCTGAATACATAATTAATTTATTGTGTTCAGGATGAGCTGGGTCAGCTTTATAGGTAATTCCATAGCTCTTAGTTCCCACTAGATATCTTAGTATTCTTTTTGCTACTGTCCAATGGCACAGGTCAGGATTTGCCATGAAGGATGTGAGTCTATTGACTGTATATGTTATGTCAGGCCTTGTGGCCACTGATCCATACATTAGGTGTCCTATGAGTTTTGCATAATTGCTGCTAGGTACACCTTCAGCCTTGGTGTCACATGGACTCAGCCATGTGCCCAGATCAAGTGGAGTTTTGACTGGATTTGCATTGTTCATTCCATATTTTTGTAGTAATCCCTCTATATAGTGTGTTTGGCTGAGGGTGATTGTTCCACTGGTGTAATTTTGTGTGATCTCAATCCCAGCTAGCTTACTTGGGTCTCTGAGGTCTGTTACCTGGAACATATTTTGTAGTTGTATTTTTAGTTTAGTCATAAGTTCAGCAGTATTGGTGATGAGTACCAGGTTGTCTACCCATACCATAATGATCTCGATCATCATCAAGGTTTTCCTTATGTATACACAGGGATTGGAGTGGAGTCAAGTGAAGCTGATGGTCTGTAATTGGCTGTTCAGTTCTTTGTTCCACTCTCATTCAGATTGTTTCAGTCCATACAATGTTTTAATTAATTTGCATAGGCATCTGGTTTTGTCATTGAAACCCTTGGGCTGCTCCATATATATTTCTTCTTTTAGTTTGCCATTTAAATATGCACCTTTCACATCCATTTGTTGGATCTCCCAGTTTTGGGCATTGGCCAATGATAAGATAAGACATATTGTTTCTAATCTAACAACTGGGGAATAGGTATCAGTATAATCCATTCCCAGGACCTGGGAATACCCCCTGGTGACTAATCTTGCCTTGTATTTTTGGAGTACCCTGTCCCTGCCATATTTTTGGGTAAACACCCATTTATTTGATATGGGCTTGCACCCTTCTGGTGGATCTACTAATATCTATGTTCCTTTTTCATGCAGTTGTTGTAATTTGGCTTCTATGGCTTTTTGCCATTCCAGCCACTCAGGTGAGGCTTTAGCCTCTCATAGTGTTTTGGGGTCGCTTTCCCCTAATGTACTTTCATTGAATGCTAAGTATACTTGCTCTGCTGATGAGAGTTCACAATTCTCTGATGTTTGATCATCATTTAGTAATTCATCCAAATCGGGTAATGGATTGTTCAACATGTTGTAATTGTGTGATGTCCAGGCCCTTCTACTTCACCTCATGGGCTTGTCATGTGACTCTGTTTGTTTCCATTTTGGTTCTGCCTTATCACTGACAGTTCTTTCTTCCTTGTCTCCAGTGTCTCCCCCTGCAAGTGGCAGGTTGATTTCTGGATGGAATTGGTAATTCCTTGAGGTGTGGATTTGTCTTGTGTGTGCATTGAAATACTGAACAGTGCATGGGCCATCTAGGAAGCCCATGAATGGGTACATGTGTGATCTTGCATCCAGCTTGGAGATTGTTTGGTGTTTGTCAAGGATCCATATGCATGTCCCAAACTCTTGCAAGTGTGATACATTGGGCTTTTGCCCATGCCATCCCTCATATGGTATTCTATTACAGGTGCATGTCCATGCCTGATTGTGCACATAAACTGCATGATTTATGGCTTCACACCACAGGAATTTTGGCATGTCTTTTGCTAGTAGCATTGCCTGTCCTAGTTCTACAACAGTGTGATTGAATCACTCAGCCACACCATTTTGGGATGGCAAGTGTGGTGCCATAGGTTCTAGCAATATTTCTTTCTCTTTGCACCATGTTATCAGCACATTGTTGATGTATTCAGTTCCATTGTCACATCTGATTCTCTTAGGGGATATCTCTCTTTGTCTTTCCATCATCAACACATTATTTGATGCATTCTGTGACTTCCCCTTTGTGTTTCATGTAGTAGACTGTAGTGTATCTTGTCGCATTGTCTATAAATGATATGTAGTATCAATAACCTTGGATGGATGTTGTACATGATGGTCCCCATATGTCTGTATGAGTTAACTCTTCTGTCACCAAGGTGTGTTGGGTTGCCTCAGATGGGTGAGGTTCACATGTCTGTTTAGTGGCAGTGCATGCTTCACAATTGAAATCAGGCAAATTCAGATCAACTTTGAACCCTTTTACTTATTTCTTATGGAACAGGTGGCACAGTCCACTTATCCTGATATGGCCAAAGCATTTATGCCATGTCTTCCATGAGGTTGTTTTGTCTGCAAGACTGGTTTGCTTGCTCCTCATAGGTATTGTAAATTGTAGTTCATACAAATGATTTTTCCACTTCCTCAGTGCAATGACATCCCCTGAGGAATTGTGCAACTTGATCTGGCCTCCTCCACTGATGGAGCAGCCACCTTGTGCATCTAAGTGGCCAATTGAAAATAAGTTATTAGGCAATGATGGCACATGTAACACATCATGTAGATTGACAGTGACTGTCTGGTCACCTATTTGACTATGCAATGTGACTGTGCCACATCCAGGTATGGCAGCTGGCTTGGTACCTATTCCAGAGACTGTTTTGTCTGGTAGTACCTTGTAGGTAGTGAACACTTTGTGGTGAGCACAGATATGTGATGTTGTAGCACTATCAGCCAATCACACATATGCAGAATAAGCCTCTGATTTGGGGGACTTTGTATCTATGCTTTTGGTAGAGGAGAATGCTACATCATCTTTGGAGTCTGTATTCTCCACTGTGTGATGTGCTTTATCTGATCGTCCAGAGCATTTACTAGATCACATCCTATCCTGATCTCTATCTTGGTCTCTAGACCTCTGTCTTTGCCATTTATCTTTGTTATCCAGGTTGGTCCAACACTCCTGAGTGGTGTGGCCAAACCATTGGCAGTGTCTGCATTTGGGTTTGTTCTTGAAGCAGCACTTGGAGGTTTTGTGGTTGGTGCAACTGCATATGTCACATGGGCCCAGGTGATTGGCCTTATGTTTATTGCTCTCACTGCTCTTGGCATAGTACCCACTCTCTCTGCCTTCATGCTTGCAGTGTTCCCACTTGGTGCAGAGTAATGATATTATCTCTTGCATAGATATCTTTGTCATTTGTGAATGCAACCCTCTGAGGAAGCTGGAGGTATAACTATCCCATGAGGTAGGGAGTGACAACAGCAACATGG